AGTGACCAGCCGATCTGAGCGGCCAGGAAGGAGAGTGCAAATGTAGCAGCTCAGCGAGGTAGGGTGGGGCAAGTCCATTTAAAGACAAATATAAGAATCCAGTTGTGTCCAGTGTGCTTTGTTTTTTTCCCATCCATCTTTTATTAATATTATTTTATATGTCATACATATATCTATGTATGTAACAGCGGTTATACAGAATAAGGGGACACGCGGGTGCGCGCGTTAGCGAGTTATGATGGTTGCACAATTAATTTTTCCTTGGAATAACAGCGGGAAAAATAAAGTAGCAGGGTCTGAACATCAGTGCTCTCGCTACGCTACCACGGCCACAATGCTAATAATTGTAAGAATAACAAACGAGCATTTAGTTTGATCTGGTATTTAAAATCTAACATTTTAAATAAACCAACAACGGCCAGCCAAACAACATAAATATGCACATGTTAACATGATTAAGAATATTTCATATCGTTCATAATTGGCAAGACAGTAACTCGAAAACGTACCATTTTTACACTTCATTAGCACTAACTTAGCAAATAGGAAATGATTCCCCGGTTGCACTTCCTGTTATGGCTGAGCGTGCACCTGACGTCAGTGGCTGAGCGTGCAGATGGCTGAGAGTGCACGTTCTGAGCGGCTGCAGCCAGACCCTTCTCGCTTGTGGTGCTCCTGGGCTAGCTGAGCCTCCAAGCAGTGACACGCCTCTTCAAGCCCGAGTAGTGCTGCTTTCACTGACTAGGCCTGCTGCTTTCACTGACTAGGCCTGCTGTTTTCACTGACTAGGCCTGCTGCTTTCACTAACTAGGCCTGCTGCTTTCACTGACTAGGCCTGCTGCTTTCACTGACTAGGCCTGCTGCTTTCACTGACTAGGCCTGCTGCAAGCTCTTGTTCCAAGTTGGCCAGAAGGCTGTGCAGCTTCTCCAATTCGCACCACTCCTGCTCTGTGGACTTAGACAGCTGCTCCTGGTCCTGCTGATCCCGTTCCCGCTGCTCACCCAGCACGTGCTGCTATTGAGCCAGCCAGGCTTCCCAGCTAAGGCACAGCTCCTTGCAGCTGAGCAGAACAGATTCAGCCTGCTGCCTCTGTCGGTTGTGCTCACAGCTGGTGAGTGGAAAGCCCTCGCTGAATGGCGAGGAGTTAGAGTCCACAGTGACACTCACCTTCTTTGGTTGCCAATGTCATCTCAGATGGAGGACTAGTGGACTGGCAGGGGCAGCTTGAAGACACACTGCAAGGTTAAGAGGCACTTCAAAAGGATTGGGTGGTGCCTCCCTCACTGCCGCGCTGTCTACCGGCGGCATTGGGACAGCCTTTGGGCAAGAGCGTACCTGGTGTCCCCTCTTGCCACAGTCCCAGCAAATGAGCTTCTTCTCTCAAAACCTGTGGTGCCAGGCTGGCTTCACTGCAAAGCCGCTGCTGCTACTTCTGTTGACCTGCCACTCCACAGCCACCTGTCTTTCAGGCTGGAGCAGGCATGCTGAACAATGCCTGCTGCAGTAGCACCAGCAGAGCTGCTTCTGGTATCCCACTTCTGACACCAATTCAGTGCTTAACAGACCCAAGCATCACAGTAGCAGGAATGAGAGAAGGCGAGGAAATTTTAAAAAATGGCAGGCTATTATAGTGTAGACATACACTCACCTAAAGGATTATTAGGAACACCATACTAATACGGTGTTTGACCCCCTTTCGCCTTCAGAACTGCCTTAATTCTAC